ATGTATATAACAGTATTATATAATAATAAATATTTATTAAAAAATATTAAAACACTTAGCCTATATCCTTAGCAGTACACTTATATCCAGAAATGTGTTTTGTATTACAAAATCATAGAAAACCCTGCATCTTTTGGCATTTTGGTAAGGGTTTCCTAAGTGAATTTGAAAATCATAATTTGCTAATGAAAATAAAATAAAACTAAGCAAACAACTTATGCCAACCACGACCACAAGTCTCTTGATCATATGATTGAACTATGAAAAATAGGCCTAATTGGATCTAATGTAATGCAAAGACGGTTCTTACTGGTGCAATAAAGGATCTACCTTGATTTAAGCGGACAATAGTGGGTGTGACAGTGGATTATATGAGGAATCAAAGTTCAGCTCATATGCGATCACAGCTCATTTATTTTTATTTATTTACATTTATAAGTCAGTTTGAATAGATCGTGTACCGTTGAATTGTCTCTACTGGACTGCAAGCGGCGCGGGGCAGTCTCCTCCCCACCCGCGAGGACCTGCATTTGAGACAGTCTAGGTGTCTAGGTAGGCAGCTCATTCATTGAGGTCCCCCCCTCCCTCAGGAATACGACAAAGGCTGCCAGTCTGCATTGAAGCGAGGGATGTTCTAACCTAAAGAGCGAAAGGGGCAGACAGACACCGGCTGCAGCCCATCCGCCCCATCCAGCACAGCAGAGCACATGATTCTCTCCTGCTCTTAAAACCATCACTAGCATCCTCTGGAAGAGATGACAAGCCATTAGATGTGTGCTTTCATATCGACTGTGCTCATCGGATACACTCGCACAAGTAAGATGAATATGCTTTTTTGAAGCAAGATGCACCGCACATTTATATTTATTAGTGCATTCATATCGCTTTTTAATTGATGAAACATGTAATCACGACTTCTTCATTGTGCTTTCCCTTTGGGCGTGTTTAAATAACTTGAATATTATATATTAATTATTAAAATATATTATGTTATATCATTATAAAACAATAACACATTAATGTTTATTAGCCTATTTAAAACATATATTGAACATTTTCTATAATGTCTTTTTAATTATGTTATTTTTGTCAGTTGGATAAGCGCACGGAAATGTACATTTCCAGCTGCTTATTTTATTTTATTTACAGAGCATAGCATGATGTGCAATAGGCCTACTTATTAACAAGTAGGCTATATGCACAAATACATTTTTTATACAGGAAAAAAAAAAGTCGGGTGATATTCAGAATAAATGCAATTATAATTTTAACATTACTCATCTATCCACAATTTTCCACAGAGATACTACAGCCCCGGGTGTTGACATGGAGCAGGTGCATTTCGATGAACGGGACAAAGCACAAAGATACAGCCGTACGGGTTCACGTGCGAACGGCCTCCCGAGCCCCACGCACAGCGCCCACTGTAGCCTGTACCGAACCCGGACCCTACAGGCTCTGAGCTCGGAAAAGAAAGCCAAGAGGGTCCGGTTCTACCGCAATGGAGACCGGTACTTCAAAGGGATTGTGTACGCTATTTCCAATGACAGATTCAGGTCTTTCGATGCTCTGCTCGCAGACCTCACCCGCTCCCTATCAGATAATATAAATCTGCCTCAGGGCGTCCGGACCATTTATACCATTGACGGGTCGAAGATTACCAGCATGGATCAGCTGGCGGAAGGTGAGCCTGGGTGTCTGTATATGGAGGTTTAGGGACATCAGTATCTTTTGTTTCTTCTTGTTCAACTTGACATACATGGTCAACTGTGCATTAGATCACATTTGTCGGTTTGGATTTGTACCTGTTCTCCACATGAAGACAACAGGCTGGAAAATTCTGGTTTTGGAGCTAGTCTGAAGTGGTTATTAGC